AGAGTATTGCACACATTAGTTTGCTTGTCAGGTCAACATCTCCCTGCTCAGGCTATAGGACTTGGTCATACCGAGGCATGTATGTTGTATATAAATTTAAAAGGTTATTTTAAAAAGTTACCCAGCACCACCATTTAGAGATACATTTCCAATATAATCTAATCATGGATGTTTATTAATTAGTTATCCAGATTAGTAATACATTTGTTGTTTTGATCAATTGCAGACTATTAATAGTTGTAATGATAACTGAAACCAGAGGCAATTTTAATACTTAGAGCTTTATGATTTCAGGAAATTAAAAAAGTCTCAACTTGATATAAGATTGTTAGAGAAATACGACAAGGAAACAAAAGAAAGGGGGTTAAGCCTAAAAATATATTACATATATTACATTAGGATGAAGGTCAGTGGGGGAACTGCTGTGGTGTTTCGATTCCACAGGATAAATTTAAAACACCGATGTAATAGTTTTACTTAAAAATATCAATGTTTACGATATACTAGAAATGGCATCTTTTATAAATGTACGATAAAAAATGCAGATGTAAACTTAAAAATGTGTGAGGGGTTAAAGAGTTTTATTGGACTCCTGTAAAAAGTTTGAAGTCCATTGCAGTCATCCCTCTCGACTGGGAGTGAGCTGAGTTGGTCTGTTCCTTTCTGAAGTACAAGAGAAAAATGGAAAACTTCAGAGTCAGAGGTCTGGTTGGGTGGTGGCAAAGGTGGTGGGAGCAGACTCTGAATAAGAAGTTAAGCCGTGAGCAGAGAATGGGGGTTCTAAGTGGAGGCTGGGTGCGACAGTGCTGCGTTTCAGAAGCAGGGAGACCAATTCCCCTTGCTGCTCACAGGGTGGTCCAGATCACCTGGGCGCTGGTTACAAGTGCTGAACAGGCTCCAGCTGAGATCTACTGTATCAGAATCTGCTTGTACTGAGATGACCTTCACCTCAAACTGAGTTGAGAGGCACAGTATTGGCAGATTCTTGCTGCCTCCAGTTTAAGACCTAAACTCAAATAATGGTGACAAGGGAGAAATAAAACATCCTCTGTACTGCCAAGGGGCGTGCCCCTTCCTTGAAATGTCCTGTCCTTTAGGAACTTGTGGCCCTGTCTGAGGAGACATCCCTCCTTTCCTCACACGTAATTTACCCCCTGACAGCCTCATTCACTACCCACCACTCCCAATGACCAGCCCCAGCTCAGCTGGTCTGAGCTCGTGCTCAGCTGCTTACTCATCATCACTACTTCCAGTTCAAAGGCAATGCAACATCATTTCTCCTGAATGAGATGCGTTTCAGTGAGCTCTTTCTTCGAAACTGCCGTGCTCCCTTCTACCACAGGACCTTTGTATATGCTGCTCCCTCTACATCTAACCAAGTATTAATGTATATCCTTCTGATCTCAGCTCAAACTACACATTCTCAGAAAGTTCACCAGGACCCAAACCCCATGTCTACAAAGAGTCCCCTTCTTAAATGCTCTCATTAGATCATATTCCTTTAACTCTTTCTTCTCCCTTAACCAACCACCACATCCTATCAGTTTACCTCCTAATACTTTCTTAATATTTAGTTTTCTATGGTCCCACTATTACCATTCTTGTGCAAGACACTGTATCTGTTTTCTGGACTATTCCAACAGTCTTCTAACTTGCCTTCCTGTCTCCACTGGTGTCCATTCTCTAGACAGTAGCAGCAAAACAACTTCTCAATATGTAACTCTTGACTCCCATCATCCCACTATTTAAAACATTTGATGGCATCCTAGTGTTAGGTTAAACATAAAACCCATTAATCAGGCTGACAGGGCCGTAAATAATCTGTCTTTAGCCTCCTACTATGTTCTTCTTCTCCCTCTTTTTGCTCCTCTGTTGTCCTCTCCAACCTAGGCCTGCTGGTCTGACCTCAGTTCTTTGAACCTGCCATACTCCCTCCCACCACTGGGCCTTTGCACATGCTCCTTCCTCCATTTGAAGAGCTTGCCCCCTTGATTTTGCCAAGTATAGGGCATTTTTCAAATCTTAGCTCAATGCTTTCTCAGAAACTTACCCTAACTCCAATGCTCAAGTCTATATCAGGTTTCTTTCTTATACATTCTCATAAAACCATATTCTTTTCCTTTGGACTACTGTTCTCAGTTTGTAATTGTACTTTCACGAGGGCAATTACTTGATTAATAGATCTTTCCCTAATAGACCAGGAACCAGGTCTGTTTTTATCTGTGATTCTATTCCCAGAACCTACTGTAAAGCCCTGTACACTGCACGACCTCCAATAAGGAATTGTTGAAGGAAGGGTAATGTTTGATGAATATAAATCATTGAATGAAAAAAAAATTAGATGATAATGATCAAGTGTCCCAATGAGTTGAGACAGGCAAAAAAAGATACTCAGTATGGGTGGAGCAGATGTTAAGTTCTCACAGAGAATGAACAGATTTCACCTAGTCCTGGTCGACTGATAGGGTTTATAGAGGTGGAGAGGACCAGAAGAGTATTCTGGACAAAAGAACAGCATGAATAAAGGGATTGAGTTGGGTACAGGGGTCCATGCTAGGGTGCCATGCTCTTGTCAGGAACTCATTATCAAAGATCAACTGAATTTGTAAGGTAGGGTTAAATTGTGGAGGGCTTTAAAATGACATCCAACAGTGGTACCCTGTAGGCATTAGGCCTGATGATTTCAGAATGCCCTACCCAGCTTAAACCTCTCCACGTAAGCACTCTAGAAAGTCTTCCATAAAGTCACCTCCCCAGGAAGAATTACTTGTTGAAACTAATCAGCCTTTGACCATTACTGATTTCATATATCTCTACCACGGCCCTGCTGGTAGAATGGAGACTAGTTAAGTCCTTTCAAACTGCTGGGAAGAGGAATCACTTTGTATTCTGAGCTACAGGAATCTAATCTTTATCTGTTGATATTTTTGGAACTGAAATGTAGTTTCTTATAGCGCAGAACCTCAGATGGAACCCTGGGTGGGTTCCCAAAGTATGAGGTTCCTGGGCTAGCAACATCAGCATCATTTATAACTTATACATGCTAATTCTTAAGTCTCATCCAGACTCACTGAATCAGAAACTCTGGTTGCGGCCTGGCAGTCTGTGATTTAACAAGCCTCCCTGGTGAGTCTGATGCACACTCAGTGTGAAGATGATTGGCTTAGGAGGTCATCTAATCTCCCCACAGTACAGATGAAGAAACCAAGGCCTTGAGTTGTAACTTCTAGGCCTTGAACAGTGCTTGGTTTATAGTAGGCAAAGAAGAGTCATTTGTTCAATGAAAGAGAGGGAAAACGACTTCTCTAAAACGACATAGGAAGATAATGGCAAAACCATGTGCCACTTATTTTACATTAAATTTATATTTTTTGAATGGGTACTATATTCACATGGTTCAAAATGCAAAAGCTTAAAAAAGACATACGAAAGAGTGAAAATTATCCTAACTAAATGCTTGAAAATAAAGTGAAAAATTATAGCAATTTTTTACAAGTATATGTGAAAAGTCTCCCTCCCACCCCTTTCTCCAACCACCCAGCCGCCCCTCCTGGGACAATCAATCAGGTACTTATACA